CATCAAATATTAGAAATCTGCCATTGTCTTGCTGTAGAACAGGGTTACTTTCAGTCTCTTGGGAACACGATTTGCCGGTCTCAGATCGATAAACACTTCAAAAAGCGGAAATAGACAATGAAATTTCCCACCTGATAGCATCTCGGGTTTTTACATATCCTGTCTATAATTTTCATAAATCAGACGTAAAAATGGCCAATTTCGTCAGATTCCGAATTTTTGCCATTGGGTCTAATGTAAAGCATGGCTACTTTCAGTCTCTTGGGAACACGATTTCCGTACCTCAGATTGAAAAACACTTCAAAAGTCGCAGATAGTCGACGATTTAATCTACAAGATAGCATCTCGCTTTTTTCTGTATCTGGTCATGTATCTTCATAAAACCCTCTCAAATATAGTCAATTTAACATTAAAGTCTATGGATTTAGAAGAATGTTCATATCCGACTAGATTTGGGCTACCATGTCTGTTGACCGGGGGCCGCACTGAATCGCCACGATTTTAAGTGCATGTCATCTCTATGTATATAAGATCTCTATGCAGAACATGCCCTCACTGTGTCGATTTGTTTTCAGTGTACCACGAGAAAAGATGGCATTGACGTAATTCGCAAGATCTTGATAGAACTTCAACTTTATGAAGATCAATCCCACCAAAATGATTTACATGTCATAGCCGTATTCAAATATCACTGCCGGAGCAACAGAAAGGTCACAAAATATTCCATTATATCTAATGGTGAACATGAGAAGAAGTTAATGTATAAGTCTACTGCTAAGTGTTTATAAGATATTTTCAGAGCCGCTTTTGCATTATCCTGTTGCTGCTAGAATCGTGCCTCTCACTCTCTCAAGTGCATTGAGGAAGTGAAAACAAACGACTTTGTTTTTCAACTTTTATAGTGCAACATGGCTTAGCCCTTTACCCGGCAGTTCTTCGATGGCGTGCTTTTAAGCAGATCTTGCGAAACTGCAGCTGCACGGCAATTCCGCCGGGAAATCATGCAATATTAGTTTCTATCCGAGATATAGCGTCTCGCCAACTACAGTTTTATTTCTTGCCGCCATTTGGGACCGAACAGCAGCGAGACCTGTTATTTGTCTTTGATACCTCATCAGACACTTTATGTTTACACAGGGATGTTTTACCCCTCCCGTCCGATGTGGAGGACTTCTGCCATTCTGCAACGCATAGAATGCTGAGCTTTCAATTTCAACACACCGGGTATTCGCCCACCAAGGTTCCTGATGCTGTTTGCCTATTCTTCTGAATTACCAATATAGCTGAACATGTCCAGTCCTAAACGGCTATGCGTTTCAACAGCCATCCAAAACAACCCTCACCCTCTCCCCCCTTCCCCCAGACCTCAAATTATATAACAGCGTGGACCTCCACAAACAAAGACTCCAATCCGACCCATCCCTTTCATGTGTGTCTGTGAGACTGCGAACGGCTTTTGGACGCGGCCGTCTGTTCAGGCGCTGTTTTGGCCGCGTTGAGAGCAGCTGTCGGAATGTGCGTTTCACATTAGCTGCTGATGGACGGGCCATTTGTAGCCTGGTCTGTCTCCCCTCCAAACAGCGGCACGCAACGCCGCCCGACTTCACAAAACAGCCATGATGGAAATGTCTTCAAACGCGGCTGCTCGCTGCGATAACAAGCAAACATTATTTCTGTAATATATTGCGATATTACCAGCAAGTTTCAGCCATTTTTTACCGTCTGCCTGCCCGAGAGGAGAGTATGCCCACTTAAACTGGCGCTTAGCGACTTAAGCTCTTCTTTTTCAACGTGCATTTACCAATGAAGTTCCAACACAGTTGCTTCCATGTGAAAAAGGACGTTAAAATTGCGACGAGATGAAATGCTTCAGCTGATCAAACTTTAGATAGCTGCAACGGCAATAAATAACGCAAATATAAAAAACAATCTCGTAATGATTTTTGTATAATATATGATATATCATATATTCCCTAAGCATATCTAGTCCCTCAAGTAAGGTGCCCTGGGCAGGGTAAGTGGGGCGAATGTATTGACTTTGCAGCGCGCGCCACCCTCCTCGTGGTCGTTCGAGCCAGTTTACGACGTGGCCTGCTTACACAACAGCACGCGCCCGAGGCGGTCTGAGTTGGACAGTGTGCTGCCGGGCTCACCCGCTGCTGGCGGCGTGCTGCAGACTTTGACCGGAGTGTTGGTATGCTGGAACTGAACCGGTCCAATGTCGATAGTATGTCAGAGGCCATGTCCCGCCTGTTGCAGAGTGGCACACAACTGATCCGGTGTCGGCAGAAACATCATTATGGTCTATTTTTATCAAAGCATTACCCGGCGCGGTGGTCCACTGATATCTGGCAAAATTTGGAGCTGATCTTTGCCGGCGCATGTCGGAACTGACCCCGTGCCGGCAGCATGACTGTAACATGCCGGGGCCGACACAGTGACGGCAGAATGTCGGCAACATGTCGAGCTGACCCAGTGTCGACAGAATGCCGGTAATAAGTTGGGGCAGTGCCGACAGGCGGACGGCTAATGGCCTCATAAATCGACTGGGTGGCGGGCGAGCAGCTTGCACGGAACTGACCTGACACGGCCAGACAGCCGGCGGCGCCCTCCACACAATGGCTGCGTCAGAAACAGGCAGAGCTCACCTGCTAACAGCACCGGAAACTTCTCAGAGCAGAAGTAGGCCGGCAAATCTAGGCCTCATATGCCGAGAAGTGATAGTGACGTTTTCTTGACAGCTCTCAAATTTCCACGGAAAATTCATGGTCAGGAAAAGAGCACTAAATACGCTGGACCAGTTCCGTGTACTATAGCACAGCTGTGTCTCGGGCCGCAATGACACTCACCGGCTCTTCAGCCTGGTCGTGCTCGAGTGTTTGTGAGCTCTGCCACCTCCTGCATTTCCGACGGCTACTCGGTAACGCAGCACCTGACGATTCCGCTAACCGCTAAACGATGACCGCACAATGGACCATTCCGTAACGATTGGCGAAAGTTGAAAATGGTGGATATATTCAACTAACCAAAGTAAGTAGCTGAGCCATCGGCAGGATACCTTCCAAATATGCCAGTTATAATTGAAAAAATGTAGTCAACCAGTTTGCGTCAAAAAGTTTTGCTTCAAATTAAGCTTACAAGCTATTCGGGACACACAGTCTCTTATTCGGCATCCTAAAGGATGCCTATATTTATTCACACTTTGCTGTATTGAAAAATCCTTTTATATGACTTCCTTTCACCTTGCTGGTGACCTATGTATGGGTACCATGTATTTTCCTTGAACTGGTGATGAACAAGGGATAAAAATTTGATGTGCAAAGTTATTAAAAAGCTTAATGCATTGATCGCTGTTATACTTGTTAGCATAGCAAAATGAATGGAAGCTTAATGACGACAAATTTCCCAGCGGCTATTCACACGGGCATAAAACAAACGCAACGAAACATGGTGTCTGCTTCATATACATAGATGTAGTTTTGCTAGCTGGGAGATGTTAAATCCTCAACAGACTCTGATCGAGCAAAAGATCACAGACCATCAGGGTTAACGTTTAAAGTGACAATCACGTGCACTCCAAGTGCACATCCTGCTCCGATTAGCAACGTATCTGTCTACTGTCTAGTGTCTATTCTACAATTGTTCGAAATTATTCCGTGGTCGGCATAGATAACGATCACTAACCGTCAGCTGAGGTATTTCACCCGTTCTGGCGAAAACTCGAAAGCGAAAGCTTGTGGACATTTTGTTCGTAGTGTTAATCCGTGCCGCCGGTGCTAACTTTATGGGTCGATTCCCGGTTCCCCGTCACACTGTCGACAGAGCAAATAGAGAAAGCTGAATAGGATGTCGTGGAATGTAAGTTAGACGGATTAGATGTCATTTGTGACAGGACATGGAACACTGAATCATATCATTATGTGTGTGGATTTGCGCAGATTAGAAGCTCACATATTCCCTTCTTTATTAAATAAGCACGCAAAATGCAATGTTACAATATAAAACACGAGCAAATGCAGATGTCGCTTTCAAAACGCCAGGAGAAGGCGTCTATTTCGTACAAGCGACGTGTCCTTCTTTCAAGCATCACCTTCCAACGTCGTCCAATACCTCACGCCGGCCACCATACGAGGTTCATCTTCTCACTCCAGCGCGAATCGATAGCCACTGGCGCTTAGAGTGTGCCGCAATACTTGCCGGCGCTGCGGCTCAGTCTATCTCGCCAGGGCCCATAGCTCAGCAATCCCCTTTCACCGAAGCTCGGCTGAGCTGCCGCGGAGCCGCTTCGATCTGGTCGGCTTACGGTCTGCGGCGCGTCCACCTTTCGACAGGAGCAGCGGCGAGAACTTTATATAGCTCTAATAATGATGGTAGGCAGCCTGCCATTCAAGCGAGTGGAACTCAAAGACGGGTGACGTCTGCGACTGTGGTGAAACATTTTCAAAATTCAAACGGTATCTGCCGGTGAAAACTGAGCGGCTGGATGGTACTTGGCAAGGATATAAAGCTGCTTGTTTTAATATTGCTTTGTTGACAACATATTCAAAGGAATTTTACCTGCACTTGTCTCAAGCCACATGATCTGTTATTTCGCGAACTTATGAATTATCATCATTATACCACATTCACAATAACGGTGGGCACAGATGAAAATGTTGTAGCATTAGAAACAAATCTTAAACCTAAACAACGCAACATAATGCACTACACAACTGCATTTATGATGGTTAATGTCAACGCTGTCGGTGGCACCATTGCGTTTCTGTATGCCCTTTGGGAAACACAGAGCTAGCCATCACGCGCCCGAGTTCTGACGTGCGACATTTCTATCTATAGGATCATTGTGCAGCGTCTCAGACTGATCTCTGTGCCCGAGGGCATCCGGCGGCGTCAAAGGCACTCCCAATCAGTGCACTCCCCTACCCCTCCCCCGGTCACATGACCACCTCTGACGTCACGTTCCCGTTGACCAATGGAGTGACGCGCCGTCTGTGCCGCAGGAGCGGCAATGTCGTCCCAAGTGAGAGGACACCGGCCGGCCGGCGATAACCCGTGGGTGTGCCCCAACGACCGGCAGCTGGCGCTCCGGGCCAAGTGAGTCGATCATGGCGCACCGGTGGCGGCCGTGACGCGCGTCCGGCTGACCCCCGCCCCCGCCCCTCGCCGGTGCCGCATGGGGACTGAATGTCGCGGGCGGCGCCCACGCACCCGGGGCTCTGTCGGGAGGAGAAACCTGTGCCTGTTTGCAATGATTACCTGCTTCCACTTATACATAGAGCAAGGCTACTGGCTCATGGCTGTTTCGAACAAGGATATGAACTTTGGAAAAGGGTACACAGAAGGAATCCATGTTCACTGCTGAGTTTAAGCAAACTGGTACTGACTGGAACTAGCTAATGATTATGATTAGTTAGGGCTTAAATCTATGCAGATCTTTAGCCTCTGCGAAGTTGTGTGAAATAGCAATGCGTGAATTTGAGAACTGCATTTCGTTGCGAGCCCTTTGATCAGTGAACTGGTATCGAGGACCAGCTGTTAGAGGTTAGGACTTTTTGGTGCATTTTTCACACCTGACATCCTCCAAGCACCGCATTCTTCGATGAAATGTTTATTGAGAAGCGCGGAGCTAATGGAGACCCAGGCATCATAAAGTTAGGTGACCTTCCTCGGCTACGGCTGCAATTGTACAGTTTTTCTGCGATAAACGAGGTTTCTGTCACTACCCCTGAAATACATGCGGTGCCGACTTATGCGTTCGTAAATGTAATTTCACCTAACTAGAAAGATGCAGTACTGGTGTTGAAATGAACGCACACCTGACGCACGCGACCAACCCAATCAGTCACTGCACCGCCTCTTTGGCGACAAGCATCAAAGCTGTATCGCTCATCGAGCCACTCTCCGACACTCCGCTTCATACAGCCGTGCAAAGTGCCTTGTAAGTGCTTTTCATTCACCGGGTACTCAGAGGCCCTGCTTTTTTTGGTACGCTTGAGAGCCCTTTCACACCTCCCGCGGCATGCGTCAAGTAAAGACGGAACTGATCTGACACAGTCTGCTATCAATTCGTGCACTGACACTGGTCTAATAATTATGGATAAAAGGCCATGAACAAAATTTAATCGACTCAACAGTATGTTTTCCGTCGCTAGCTTGAAACGCTTGCATAGTGCACACGCCCGTTCCAAATCGTACTAGCTTTGTGATGTTCAATGAATGCTTATTGGTTGAAGGATTGTCGCCCTGGACTATCAACGAAGTAACGTTGATAAAATCAACATTACATGTATGCCGATAACTACTTCTTAAGAAGCCAACCCCTGTTTTCCTTACTTCTGGTATGGCTCCGCATTTCTTGATGAAGTGCAAATGACGAAACACAACGAAGTGAAAATTTGTTTGCGGGTATTTTTCCACAACCAATTTCAATTTGATCTCTATGGAGATTAGATTTTGCTAATTGCATGGTGGTGAGGGTGTCCCAGGACGTGAAATGACCTATTTTAGTTCTCTCATCCAGATGTTCCTCGTTCCCATCTATTTTGGCCTATAGATGTGTCACAAGTTTGCCCAGCGTAAAATTTACGGTCAAACTTTCAAACCCTTGACTGGTCCCAAGGGTTACACACACCTATGCCTCGAAAGTGAGCAGCGATCAGTAAGGTGACAGCTACTAACCGAAGCGTGAAACAGCATCGATCGAATGAACTAGCGTTGCTCTAAACTGATAATTGGTCAGTAGTAAAATCCCTATAATCCTGTTGCATGGTTTCATTGTTCGGACTTTACGTTCTTGCGCGTTTCTGTGACATTAAAAGGTTCGTATAAACATTGCTTTAATTCGAGAAAAAAAAAACGAAGAATTCGTCAATTCTGGACGCTGAGGTTGGCAGTGGGAAAAGTCCAGCATCAACCATTACTCATAACGTGTACTTGTTCCGATTAATGCTGAATTGTTCAGAGTTAGCTCTTCAGGGCCATTGAGCTCACTTTGTTACTGAGTGTTCTCAGGAACTATAAATGATGCCTTTTATCTTATCCAGTGGGAAGCAGGGCGCTTCAGACGTCGCTAATTGATGCTTAGTCGTCAAGTTAGGCTTAGTCGTCAAGTCAAGTTAGTTAGGGTTGAGTTAGTTTGATGTAGCGTCTGTGAATCCTTTTAGACATTGCAACATCCTTGTTATTAGGATTTGAAAGATGGATTTATCCACATGAACAGGATGATTCTCTGGATCCAATGATTTCACTGGATAACACTCAATGTATGTACTCGTGCTCCAGTCCCACTCAATATCCAAACAACTGTGTTAATGGTTAAAACTGATTATACTGAAAACAATCACCGACCTTATATCTCTCCCCAGAAGATGCCAAAAGTCCTAAATAGATTTCAAAAACCTTGTAATAAGCTTATCTTACCAGCACATTGCATTACAAGAATTTTGTGGCATGCATCAGCTTCAAAGTCTATCCGCAGTAAAGCATCCTGAAACGTCGTTCCGAATCCGGAAAGTCGGCCATTCTTTAACAAGTGGGGAATAATTTGAAAGCGTCGAACTATGCTGACAGTCCACAGATCTGCCGAGACAGCGTTCCAGATGAGGTCCTGATGTGGCCGCTGATAGCCTCTGCCCTGGGGGGAGGGGTGGTGGTGGTGGTGGTGGGGGAGGGGGTGATCGCGGCGACAGTGGTCGCGGAGTCCATCGGAAATGTCGCTGCTCACCGCGCCGGGAGATCGGGCCGGGGCGACACCGGCACCGACGGTCGATACGCCCGGCCGATGTCGCGCGGAGGGCGACAGAGTCCCCGAGCGTCCGTCAGACGGGACTCAGAGTCCGTCAGACGAGTCTCAGAGTCTGTGTCAATTAGAAAACGTGACTCAGAAGTGCGTCAGATGAGAGTCCGTCAGGGATAGAACTCACCGTCCGTCAGATGTGAGTTGTCGATGATATAAGTCGAACATCTCTTGACGCTCACCTCCTGAGCTATAAGCCCATTACCAGACATTTCCTAGTCTCTCTTATACGGCCTTGGTCTCACTTACCGTCAAACATCCCTTGACCGTCGTCTGCCAGATGTTCGTCAAATATCTGGTAGACTCCCTCGCACCTTCGGTTGTCTGCCACACATTTCTCACTGGTTAACCGATGCCTTTAGCTGACTTGGCAAACCGACCGATCCGACATCTCTCAGTGAGTGTTTAGCCGTCTCAGCAGCCATCCGTCGTCACTCGTCTCTCAGTACGGCCTGCCTCTGTCGCATGCTGTCGCCATTCACCAGCCACCAGCCACGTTTCATGAGCCATCTGACACTTCAATGAACGTCTGTGACATTGACAGCACCCGTCTGATATTTTACCGGTGGCTTTATACCTTAACTGGGTCTCATCTCGTGTTTCTGCGACTGTTTGACGTCTCGTCGCGTGGCACTACGATCATCTGGCGTCTCGTCTAGGCTTGCAATGGTCCTCGGACGTCGCCTCGTATCGTCCTTCACAAAATCGTCCAACGTCTTGTCTTTATATTAGCTCCGTCTGCGCCATTTTTCACAGACCGGCCGATGTAGGACCGGTCTTTTGCAGAACCGAGCGACCACACTTCATCTTTTGATTGGTCCAGGGGAGCACCTTATTCCCGATCCTCACATTTTACCATGGTAACGTGCAGAAGAGGACTGAGAAGCGCTATAACCGCGATACGGCCTCCGGAGATGCATGTATCAGTCACGTGAGAGCAATAACGTCTATTTTCATAGCACCCTAACGCATGCATAATGACAGCTGCTAAGAGAAAATGACTACCAAAAATTATGGTACCTTACACATTTTACAGTAAACGCCTTGCAGTGTGCAGCCCTTACAAACAATTAAAGTGCAATAAAATATGCCTATCAAGGATAAAAGTAATCATAATATATTTAGCTATTTCTCTATAGCACGTCTAGATGACAAATCCAATGCAATGCACTGAAAATGGACTGTATCGATTGATCAAAGTTATCAGGGGCCGCAACAAACCTGTCGCGTTTTATTGGAGCCATGACACAAGTTCCCAAGAGAGCTCTGCACCATATGGTGCTGAAATTCCGAGCTCCGCGAGCGGAAACGCAGTATCGTTTCTGCAGCGATGGGTCTCGCGTTATGAACAAATGACCGGGCGCCTCTGGGCCGGGAGGGCAGCGGAATATGGAGGGCCCCGCCTCACTCCAGGCACGTTCTAGATTGCCTTTGTGATGCTGGAGATTGGACGGGGTTTTATAAGCTCTCGTATGATGGAGTACACCAGGGGGCTGTCATCCCGAGCTTTCCTATTTGCCGGGCACCCGGATCTTTAACATTACCCGTGACGTCAGCGGACCGGACACTTCTCAGCTGGCCTTCCCCGCAAATTTGGCCTTGAATTCGATTTTGAGGGTCACGGACTCACGGTTGTAAACAAGTTCATTTCCTGTTTCTTGCTTGTGTTGTACCTTGGTTGTACCCTCGAGTTGATTGTTTGAAACCATTGAAACTTAAATTGATTGAATGATTCAGGACTTGATTCAGGATGTCGTACTGTGCGGTGGCTACATGCCGAAGTTACCGAAGGACTGGCAAGTTCTGCACAAAATCGTTTTTTCGGTTCCCGAAGGATCCAGCCACATGTGCGACCTGGGTGCATAGATGTTCGAGGCAGGATCCTATAAATGTGTTGCAGGCAAGGATTTGCTCAGACCACTTTCTTGATTCAGATTATGATCCTTCCTACCTTGTGAAAGCATCCCTGATGCCAGGTGTGAGCCCATGTCTGAAGACTGATGCGGTTCCAACACAGAATCTGCGCAGTGCTGGGTCTTCGGGGTATGTATTTCATTTTAATGGATTTGATATGAATGGCAACTATTCAGTTGGTAATGTACTAATTCGAATCTTTCTTATTGTGATGGAAATTGTAACAAATTTATATTTGCTTTTGGATTTGCACTGTGACTGTGTGCGCTTGTCAGATATGTACCATGACACATTAATTTGTAAATTAGGTTGCTAGTAAGCAGGTAGGTACCAAGTTAGGTACCGCTACCGACATATTTGCATGATACTTGAAACATTTTGCATA